GTGTTCTTCTAATTAGTGTCTAGAGTGCCGTTTTGAGCTGTTTAGAGCCATGTGGGACAAAACCCGATCCTGCCCCTCCCTCTCACAGTCTAAGTGAACGGTGATTGTAAAAACTACACTGCGCATGCTCAGAGTATTTTTCTATTTAATGTGTGTGGCAAACAAATAATGACCGTAGGGGCATAGTGCTCCCATCCCCACCATACGTCATCTCACATAATTCAGAATTGATTGGCTGTAAGTACTCACGTGTGCAGTGCTGCGAAACGTCACGTGTAGTTTGAAGAGGAGACGAGAGAGCAGCATATAGCTAACATCACCAGCGATTAAAAGAAGTAAAAAACTGAAAGAAAATGAATGAAGTTGACCATTTACTGGAGCACACATTTGAGACACTTAGTCTCGGAGAGAAACTGGAGGTAAAGCGCCTCGGTGCCCACCATCCACCGGATTTCCAAATGGTCCAGACTGCGGGCAAAGTTAAACGTGGGTTTAACGAGTGGTTTGCTAAAAAGAAATGGCTAACGGCGAGCATCCAGAAGAATTCCCTCTTTTGCTTTCCTTGCCTGCTTTTTGGTGAAGATCAAGGTACTTGGTCGAGGACAGGTTACAAGGACTTAAAGCATCTTTCGGAGAGGACAATGAAGCATGAGAGCAGCAACAGTCATTTGGAAAATGCCGTAAAATTGGGATTACTTGGAAGGGTGAATGTTGCAGCTCAAATTGACAGCGCCTACAGACGCGGCATTGATTCTCATAATAGGAAGGTGGAAGAAAACAGGTACGTGCTTGGTCGGATCATCACCTGTATTAAACTGTGTGGGAAATGTGAGACAGCACTGCGGGGCCACAACGAGTCGGCGGACTCTCTGAATCCAGGGATATTCAGGTCAATTTTCGAGACAATGTGTGAGGGCGATTCCAGGCTTCAACGGCACTACGAAGCTCAGCTTGTTTTCAAAGGGACATCAAGCACCATACAGAATGAACTCTTGGACTGCATGTATGATGTGTACAGGGAGGAAATAGCCAAGCAAGTGGACAACACATCATTTGTTGCCGTTCAGGCCGACGAGACAACCGATGTCTCCTGTAAATCGCAAATGGTGATTGTGCTGCGATACATTATGCCTGACCTCACAGTTACAGAGCGTTTTTTTGAGTTTGTGGAAGTAAAGGACAAAACTGGTGTAGGTCTCTCTAACAGCATCAAGGCTGTTCTGGAACCCCTGAAGCTGAAAGAAAAGCTAATCGCTCAGACCTATGACGGGGCGGCCGTCATGAGCGGTAACGTGCGCGGGGTACAGACGGTGATGAAGGAGACGTACCCAAACGCTCAGTTTGTTCACTGCTACGCCCACCAACTGAACCTGACCCTGCAGCAACTGTGTTCAGCAAGGATGAGCATCCTGAAGGTGTTTTTTTGCAGATCTAACTGCTTTTTCCACTTTTTTCTCCGGTGCTCCAAAACGTGTTGCAGCTCTTGCAGAGGCAACACAGAGACGCATCCCACGGCCACCGGCTGTGAGATGGAACTTTAAAAGCAGAACTGTGAACGCGGTTTGGGAGACCCGAGATGCACTACTTCAGTGTATGAAGCATATACGCTCACAACCAGGATGGGATGCGGTCACCATAAGTGAGGCATACGGCCTGTCAAAGAAACTGCGGGACCGAGCATTTATGCAGCTCCTGGAGTTGTTTTCGTTGCTTATGCCAGAAGTGGATGTTCTATACAACACTCTGCAAAAACGAAGTATCGATGCACCTGGGATCAACAGCGCGCTCTGCCGTTTCAAGGAAAATGTTCAGAAAATGAGGCAGAAAACTGATGCATTGGCCGCCACTGCTCATGATGGAACAGACGAGCCAGGCCGACGAGTCAGCAGCACAGCGCCGGTGATGAAGGAGGCTTGTGACACAGTCATCTCACAGGTGGAACAGAGGTTCTCACAGAGTGACCATTTGATCGCTGCAAAGCTTGTTGACAGCTCATTCTTCCCACAGCATGTCCTGTCATTTCCTACACCTGAGCTTGACTGCGCCGTGAAACTGGCCTGCGTTGGGAAACAAGGAGAAGTTGAAGTCTGAGCTGACCACGCTCTACCGCCACAGTGAGCTTCACACTGGAAACACTGCCCTGTCTCTGTTGAAATCCATTCACGAGAACAACTTGGAGGAAACGTTTGCTGAGACTGTTATTTTGGTCAAAATAATAGTGACAACTCCGATGACGACATCCGAGTCAGAGAGGAACTTTTCCACCCTCAAAAGGATAAAGACTTTCACTCGCAACACCATGGGACAGCCGCGACTTAACGCATTGGCCATGCTTTCAATTGAAAGCCAGTTGATCCAGCAACTACAGGACTTCATCCCCAAAGTGATAGACACATTCTGTCAGAGGAAGGACCGCCGTGCCGCTTTTCTTTTCAAGTGAGCCTTCAGCTTTGGTAAGTTCATTTATGTCATATATTTGTTGATCTTCTGTGTTTTGCCTCTGCTGGATCGATTGATATTGTGACCTCGATGATGAGTGTCTGTGTTTTCCTTATATTTACAGTCTATGGTGTTTTAATGCTAAAGCATTACGGTTGTTGTTATTGTTAAGAATTACTTTGTGATGGTGACCTTTACTCAATGTATGAAGGTGCATTACTATGACATCCCCACGCTGTGTACGTAAATGTATGCGCTCACAGTGTTGCTCCTGTGGTCTTCAGTATGTAATTTGACACTCCCCCTCTCTCTCTCCTCCCCCCCCTCTCTCTGCCCCCCCTCTCTCTCTCCTCCCTCTCTCTGTCCCCCCCCCTCTCTCTCTCTCTCTCTCCCCCGACCTCTTTCTGCCCCCCCAGTTTTGTACACCTAGAAACGCCACTGGTCTTATTGTAAAGTCGTACCAAGAAAACATCCGAGAAAAAAAAAGTATGCCAAGCTTACTCTCATCATTAAACCTGTGAGTCCTGACATGGATATTATAGGAATGTTTATATTTGTTTTAAAGTATTAATCTCTGAAATATGTATTTAATGTCTCTAAGTGACGATCTACTGCCAAATGAGCGAGATCTCAGGAAAAGTCACGTTCGCAACACTTGCAGTTACAGCTCATCGCCATAGTTGCCACAAAAGGGAACAAAAACGTTAAAGATATGAGTGGTAACCTTCATTAATTGTTGAAACTACTTTCATTGGTATTGCTGAATATTTGAAAAACCCTCCTTGCTGCTTTCTTTGAAATACAATACATTTGACAATAGGAAATAAGTTTCACTTTAAGACTTTAACTTCTATGCACGCAGAAGTGGATACATTAGATTCTCAATCAAATTTGGTACAAAGAGAGCACAGCTGACATAAACACTTTGCTGTTTTGGTTGTTTGTGTTCTAGGTTGAGCACCCAACTGAAGCTCAGTGAGGGGGATCACACCTGTTTCCTCTTAAGGCTGAAACATTTTGTAGTTAAGATGGAGGAAGGGTTCCTCCACCAGCAGCTCGAGGTAAAAGTTTGGCGGGCTGATGTCTCTCAGTTGTTGAAGTTTTAAGATCTATGGTTAATCTGTGGTGATGATCATCATAATCCACCCATGCAGACCATACAACCTTGAAAGGCTTGAGAGACAATTTCTCATAATCTTGGAGACATCCTCTGATCCTTACATACAGAGAGCAGGATGACTCGCAGTCCAGCAGACATTAGTTCAGTGACTTGTTGCTAAACTGTCATTGTTTGTGAAAAGATGTGGAGCTATTCTTGTTATATTTGGACATTAATTGACAGAATGACAGTTCCTTAAAACACTTATCTCACTTATCCAACCCAAATGGACTAACAAAACTTGGATTCTGTAACAGACGGGTTGAACATGTTGCTTTGGTAAATCCAACAGCTCCATCTGGAGGTTCAAGGAGAACATTAGCTAATTTGTGGTACAACTCGCAAGTTTGTCTTGCATGACATATTAAAATGTTAACTTGGTGCTAGAGATATAAAACACATAGCAGTAGGTTACCATCCAGTATTTTGTGATTCTGTTCAAGCTTCAACTCAATACTTCAGTGTCAATCTTACCAACTAAGTTCGTAAACCGAGAGGCTGTTTGTTTGTAAGTAAAGCATCTAGCTCCTAAGAGAAGATGCTAGATTCCAGCATTGTTCAATTTGTGTTTGGTTTAATACAAAGTTTAGTATATTTAACATTAACACCTGCAATAACAAACAGGCTCCTACATCTGCAGATGGTGTTTACACTAAAACAGCGTCAGACTCACTCGACTGATCCACATCCAGAACATCAGATTACAGGACTCTATTATTTTATTGGGGTGCCTCTGCTGAAACAGAACTTATAGTTTTATAGACTTTGAAAGATTCAAATATGGCTTATAGTTAATAATTGCTTTATTTCTACCTTGTTTAATGTTTATTGTGACCATTTCAGTGTTGTTGACCACAATGATGTTACCGCAATTACATTTCTTATCAGGGGTGATTTAACAAATAGGAACAGACCTTAATTTGTCAGATACTCTGAGAGAACACTGCAAGACTAGAACCAGATGTTGTTGTGCACCCTTAAAAAAAAAAAATTGCTTCTTGCAATTGTACATTATTATCTTGAGAATATTTTTGAATGCCGATGTATCTCAGGACATCATTTTGTGTGTACTTTAACAGATCCTCTGATCTATTAAATGCAAATACATTTGTATTTATTTATTTAAGGAGGGACAATGCACATTAATCAACATGAGCACCGGAGTCCATCATTTAAATGTGCCGGATTAGCCATAGAGGCTAATTTCCATCTGCAGTCCCTGTTCTAGATTTTAAGACACTTTGCACAATACACAAATTATAGCATGCTATGCCAATTTCCAGATAATTACTTCACATCTATAAAAACAAACCCATCATGTCAAAGAGAGTACACCATGAATGTGGAACGCACAGAGCTGATCTGAGCATCAAAGCAACATTTGAAAGACAACCAAAGTGGAAAAGGTGGAAGTTCTGGCAACATTTATTTATTTTCTGCACATCATAGATCTCAGATTTTGTCAAGTAAAGTGCAAACATCCTACATCTTGCAACTGTGATTAGAGGCGTTGTTGGTGTCAGCATAAAGACTGAAGAAGCAAAAGAAGGTTCATATTGAGAGAAGAAATTCAGCCGTATCCCGGATGTGTACATATTTCTTCTTTTGGTTTTGTTTAGTGTCTGGCTCCAGTAGTCTTACTTTAAAGAATGAGTACAAATACAAACTTTGCTTGACATCACACAATTAAAATGACTGAGTTGTTACGAGAAAAATACACCTAATGTTTGGCAAACTGGGTCTTTGTTCATACTGTTGTGAAATGGGGAGCTTCATGTGTTCAATCTTAATTTGATCTCTTCAGTGAGGGCTAAAACTATAGTGCAACATTTGTAAAATAACAGCCTGTTGCGCCAGAAAGATAGTATATTATATAAAGGCAGCTTTTAATAAATGTAAAAGCTTTAAAACTGTAGGTAGTTACTGATCGTCCATCACTTTCATGTCAGGAACCTCAGCAGCAATAAGCTAATTGACCATTGCACAAGCTCCTTTTGAATTAGCCCCAGATAAAATTGATTATATTGCCATTTTCAACCCACTTCAAAATCTTCCATCCTCAGCACTTCCTCTTCTTGCAGTAACCCTCCACCACCTCTGGCAAGACGCTGTCGTCCTCCTCCATGTCCTCTGTCACGGTCTTACCGACCAGCTGGAAGATGTCCTCGGCGGCGACGCCCATAGGCTCGGCCACTTTCACCGTCAACATGTCCAGAGTCAGGACAGTTCCCCTGGGGATCTTTACCTTCGCCACCACAGACTTACCAAGCTGGAAGACAAGGAACAACACTCTTATTGTTATCATGGCCAAGGTTGAAGGAAAAATAGGAAAAGTAACATCTCCAATGTTTTTCTACAGGGAGACACCTCTCACCTATTTTTACCAAATTAAGTTTTCTGATATGTTCTTTTTAAATATCCAAATGAGGAATTATTTTTTCAAGAATTTACCAATTTGCATACATTTCCAGAGCACAAATCTAAAAATGTAATATAGCCAGGCGAAAATAGCCCGTTTCATTTTGTCGACATATAAGATGTTTGTTTTTTTTTAAACGGAGGACATTTGGGATATGTCTTTTTATTACTCCATAAATCCGAAAATACTTCAATTTTCACAGTTTTTTCTGGAATAAATTATGTTACATAAATCAGGCTTTAAACCAGGGGTGTCAAACTCAATTTCATCGCGGGCCACATCAGCGTTATGGTTTTACTCAAAGGGCCAGTTGTAATTTTAAGACTATATAAAAATACATATATAAATATTTTATATATATAACATAATTTATTATATTACATGATTGCCTCTGCATTGGATTATTTTCAGATACGTCTGAAAGCAGAAGTCTAGGGCAAATAATTGCAAGTCTCTTCAGTGTGCATGTCACAAAATTATTTAAAAAGAAAAGCCACATTTTGGAAAAACTAAAAAAAAGAAGTGACATTTTGAAAAAAAAGTAACATTTTGAGAAAAAGTCAAATTCTAAGAAAAAAAAGCATATTTTGAAGAAAAAAAGGAAAATTGAGAAAAAAGGCAAATTTGAGATGCATTGTGGGACATGTAGTTTATGGGCAACGTGCTTCTGTAAAGTAGCATGTAACCGTATAATAAACATATTATATTCTTTGCAAGCTCTTGTGGGGCCACATAAAATGAAGTCGCGGGCCGGATTTGGCCCCCGGGCCTTGAGTTTGACACCCCTGCTTTAAACAGTATATGAAGACAACTGTCTTTAAAAAACCATGAGGATTGAAATACACTGACACTGTTAAGTTTGGTGTATATTAGGCCTCAGTCACACAAGGACGATAACGGTCATATCTGCTTCAGTTCTCTATCAGATAGACGGTTCGGCCACACGAGGCAGACATAGAAACACATAAATCGATAACGATAAGGGGTCCCAAGGTGGGTAGATCTGTGAACGAAATGCTCTGGGGGGGCAAACGGCTCCGTGTTTACGCCTATACGATCATTTCCTGATAACGTTGAAGCAATAGCCCCACCTCTCCTGCTCAGAGATCAGCTGCTGGGCTGTCAGAAGAGGGGGATGAAAATAGAAGCTCGGTTTTTTATTCTTATATTATTAAATAGAGTCGTTATCAATTTGTTTTAAAGCTCAATAAATAACAAAGAAGACCTCTGACCGGCACTTTTCTAATTTTGTCCGGAAGATTTAAACTTTAAAGAAAATAGTGACCGGCGAAAAAAAATCTAACTGAAACTCTGCCGCACGGTCCCCTCGTCCCTTGGGAGAGGTGGGTGTTTTTCATCTGCTGGTGGACTACCGGAGAGATTTACAGCAGGAGCAAACGCTTGCCTCTGGGAGGGAGAAAAAGAGCCAGAGCGTCCACAGCGGAGAATAAACAGAAGGGAAACCATGGCAACCATGCGCGGGAAGTCTTCTTCGCTGCTTTTGTGGCAGGAGTACAGCGCCACTTACAGGCCCGGCATATGTACTACAGCGTCTCCAGCGCTTTCGAGCGGTCTCGTGTGAACGGACAAGTTTCTGGTGCCTATTGCGTGTGGACGGAAGACTTTTTTGATATCGATTTTGGTCCGTTTGCGTTATCGTCCTCGTGTGGCTCCAGCCTTAGTGCTATTGAAGTTGAGATATCTGCTTTGGCTAATTTAAGTGAAATCTATGGTTGCAAATAGACAAAGTTAGTAAAATAAACACCTTAATGTGTATTTTGCGTGCTTTTCTTGATGATTACTCACCTTGTCGTGGCACGGCTTCTCACAGGGTAACATAGTCTTGATGCCGGTCCCCATGGCCCTCTCCACCAGTCGGATGGAGCGCACCAGCTCGGTCAGCTCACTGGGCACCAGCGAGGCTTCGTGGTCACTTCCTTTCCACGTCTTATCCAAAGTAACATGTCGCTCGACGACCTTTGCCCCCATAGCTACGGCCGCAAGTGTAATACTGATCCCAGACTCGTGGCCAGAATACCCAATGGGAATATCTGGAAATTCCTTCTGGTATTCCTGTGGTGAATGATACAAATGTCACTCATAAATCTTTGATCTTTGATTTTGGTTAACAAAAATTGTTAGCTTAGCTTACCATTAATACTGGAAACAATGTTGTACAAATAGCATGACAGTGACAAGAAAAGTAAAAACATCTGCTTACCATCAACTCAAGATCAATAATCAACACTTTATACCCATTTTGTCAATACAAAAACCAAATATACATACAGATATGAGAGAGATCTTGAGGAATCTATCTTTTGGGAAAATAAATCATTTTTAAAGTAGTTCTTAAAGGTCCCATGTCATGCTTTTCCGGTTATTACCCATCCCCTTGTGTGTTATGAAGGTTTTTATGCATGTAAACGGTCTGCAGAGTCAAAAACCCTCAAAGTACACCCTGTAGGGCAGGGGTGCCCAACCTTTTTTGAACCGAGAGCTACTTTTAAAGTTGCCAGTCTGCCGAGATCTACCAGTCCAAATAGAGAGGTGTAGCCATTACTGACAGCCTACTGCCAGGTACATACACACTTCTACAAACTGACCTTTGTACGATGAATACTTCATAAAATACTGCAGATCCTTTATCTTACCTCTTTCTAATCTACACACATACAAGTATTTAACTGAAGTTACACAACAGTGTTGTTGATACAGAGTTGGAGTTTATTCACACGTCACATACTACAGTGGGTAATGTTTTCAAGAAGCATTGAACAGTGCTGCCACATATGACACAGGAAAAAAAGAAAAGACTCTGAACCCTTTCTTTGCCATTATATAAAAATAGTGTTGCTACAAAAGTATAAATTAGGCTTACTAATAAGACAACTCAGATCTGAAGCTACACAGGAATCTGCTGCCAAAATGCAATAAAAAAGACATCAAACCCTTTTTTTGTTGCATTTTAGTAGAGTATAAAAAGAAATGCCTTTGAAATAGGATGCAAGCAACACTAGTTTCTTAACCTGAATTGATAATACACTATAATCAATTTAAACAGAACAGATCTTAATGTTTGTATTCTTATACCATTGTGTACAATAATTATAATGAATAAGTTCAAACAAACTAAAACTTACAGCTGATTAATAACGGTATCTAACTTGAGTTTTTATTATATCAAAAACCTGTTGAAATGCTACTGTTATTTTTACTATCCCCAAAAAGCGCTTTGGCAGCCTCCAGGAATGCTTCTTTCACAACTTCGCCGTCTTTGAAAGATTTCATGTGTTTCGCAAGAAGGTGACTGACACGATAAGATGCTATGGTAGCAGCCTTGCTCTTGTTGTTGGGCCTGGTGAAAATGGACTGCTGTGCATTTAGCTGTCCTTTCAGGTCCCTCACCTTATGACGTTTAAAACAAACAAGGTATCTACCACGACTGTTTAAATGCGTGACGTCATTGGTAAGCGACGGACGCCGAACACATATGGTAGGGCGAACACATATGGTACTGACACCGGCAGCAGCTTACAAAGCTGCGATAGGCAAGATGCTGAAAATGGCTATAGAGTGGCGAAGTCACGCCAATCTACTTCCAATCTACTTGCAAAATTATCTTTTCAATTGACAAACATCATATGTGTAATTCATGGCACAATTCAAATGGGATCGAAAGATAATCTTTCTCTCCATTGACTTCAATACATAATTTTTCCGAAATAAGGTCCCATGGGGGTCCACCGGAAAGGGAGGGACTTTGCCACTCTATTAGGGAGGAATGGATGATATACAGTGTATATATGTATATCTACACATGTTCATTTTGTACATTTCTAAAAATAAAGTTTGATGGAAATACTTAGTCGCCTTTCTTCCCTGAATTATTTTCTCCTATAACATATCATTCATATATAGCAAACCATGATTTGATTTTTCATCAAACACAGTAGTAGTTTATTACAGGTAAAAATAACTTACTCTTCTTCCGTTCTACGCCTCAAAGGTCTATAATCGAATCTGTACATGTTATGGAGGTTCTGCAGGGTGTGGGGTATGTATTGGGGTATTCTGTGCTACTGTTGGTGTTTTCAGCTAGCTGGCTACATAATGTTGTAACTGTCAGCTAGGCTACCTTTCTAATTTCTTTGCAACAGATGTTTTCCACTTCGGTAGGCATCATGGCGCAGTTTCCACAAGTGCACCTAAATAACAATAGTTGTAGGTACAGTTCGGTTAGTTAGCGTATAACATGGCTGGACCGACGCCATTGTAAGACTGATGTTCCGCTCAGAGCCGAAAAAAAGCCTCTCTGGTGGTTGACTTATCAGAACAGAGTGGCCGAGCTGACCAATCGGAGCACACTGGGCTCACAGGGAGGGGGGGGGGGGGGGCAGGAGCTCCAACCAGCCATTTAGGACAGAGAGTGAATACACATACTATACAGAGATGCTGTATGAGAAACCAATGTGAGTTAGGAAAATTGCACAGTATAAATCTATTTTAGTAGACCTCAACAATGGAATTATGATCAGTAGAAATGGCCAAGACATGGGACCTTTAATGCAGTAATATAATCTGATCTGATTTAAATATATTTAATAATGTGTTGTGCCAACCGTTTCATAAAATGAATACTATTAATAGTAAAAATCAATTCTTCTCACCGCTAGAACTCTGAGGTTGACATCTTCAGCCTCCAGAGGGTAGGCGCTGGTGCACTGCAGGATGGCAAAGTTAGGGTTGTGCTCCTTCACTGTTTGGTAGACCCGACGCATCGTCTCCATGCTCTGCATCCCACTGGACACTAACATGGGCCGTCCTGACACAGACAAAATAAGCTTGGTAAAAATCTTAGCTAACATGGGCAGAAGGCTAAATGCCTTCAGGAATCCCTGTAGTTCAGAACTCAAGCTTGTTTCACTTTAATCCCAGTTTTAACTAATTTCTACAAAGATAGGCATGTGCACAAATGTTCAGTTTATCTAATCATTTTAGATCTGGGTTATATGTAATAGTACAATTTTATTCACCATTAAATACATCTCACATGTATTAATTTCCCCAGATATAAAGGTCCAGTCTCACCTTTCTCGGCAGTCGTCTTCAGATAGGGGAAGTTGTTGGTGTCTCCAGAGCCTACTTTAAAGAAAGGCACATTGATCTCATCGAGGAATTCCACTGCCATCTAAAGACAGAAAATAAAAGTCATTATTAAACTTAAACCTGATTAAAATGTCTTAAAGGCTTCATCAAAACTGTCTTTCTTACCTCGTCCATCCCTGAGGCGGTGAAAAAGATCCCCACCTCCTCTGCATACTTCTGCAGCTCCCTGTACTGCTCGTGGCTGAACTCCAGGTGGCGCTTGTGATCCCCATAAGTTCTTCCCCAGGAGTTTTTGGAAGTGTAAAGGCGCTCCAAGGCTCGCTTGTTGAATTTGTGCTCCAATTCACTCTTCTGGAATTTGGCACAATCAGCACCACAGTCCTGTGAAGGTTGATACAATCGTGTTCAATTAATACACTTGTAATTCATTATTTAATCAATTGCTGGTGTAACAACGAGACAAACATGCAAAAATGATGGTAATGTGTCTTTCTAAAATAAAGCATAGTATTCCAATTTACATCAAAGTTGAATACAAATCCCAATATATTAATAATGAACAAATAGGTTTCCTAGAGTTGAAAAGGAACTGTTTCTTAATAAAAAAATTTGCAAGAAATAAAGAAAAGCTTATGAACTCAACACAATAACTCACAACCGTGTCTCTATTTCCTCTGTCAGTGGTGTACAAATACCAGTGACGTGCGGTGAGGTTCATGGCTGGTGAGGCACTGACTCTTTCAGAGTCAGATTTACAAATATTATATTTTGAACTTAATCGAAATATTCGGTTATTTTCAAAAGCTTTTTTAGTCTGATGCTTCGATTCATTTTAAACAGACCGTTCAACAAAAGGATACCCGAAATCTAAATATTGGATTGTTCTTTCTTAGTAAGATCCCATTTTCATTACAATTGTGGTCTTACCTTGACTTGAAGATGAAGTCCATGCTATCCTTCTGGACAACAATCTCTATTACTTTTTTGTAAAAGTCCTCCTTATCTATAGTTTCTACAGCATAAACTGTGCAACATTACAGTAGGCCCACACAAACTGCAGAACACCGGGGCTTTGGGAACACTCAAAATTACTTAAAATGATTTAATTCCCATTTAACCTGTTAAGGGGTTTTTTCCCCCCGGTTTTTTTCTCACGAAACTGTGTCTCAGGGCTTCTTAAAATGTAATAAACTATTCATGTGTCCTGCTCATTTAACAGGAAGAAACTCAGCTAACTGATGATATGAACCATGTTTACCGAAACAAAACACAAGTCTCACAAGAAGCGTCTAAATGAGCCCTGAGCGAAAAAAAAGCTAACACACTCTAGGTATAAATCAATCGATATACTTATCGGATATGCACAAACAGATTCTATCTAGAACTATAAGTGTCATCACTGAGCGATCAGAACTCGCGACAGGGGAAGCAAATACAGACATCACACAACGTAGCTTTAGGTAGCAAAACACGGAGATATGCTCATCTTTTGCTGTTATTCTGATCAAAAACGAGAAAAACGCGGTTGAAGGTTAATCCATAGGTTAATCCAATGTGTCTGTCATTTTGAAAAAAGTATTGATAATCCATAATTACATTTTTATGTCAAAAACGGAGTTTTCATTAGCTGCTAATGATAGCTTCCAGAGTGAATGACAGCTTCCTGTTTTGTCTCCTTGGACACGAGTCCAAACAACTCACAGACTGCACCGGGCGCTGATGTAGGCGCCCTGTGACCATCAGATTTGACGATGCTGATTGGCTGAAATGATGTTTTGGCTGCATAGTCAGCTGCTAGTGGCTGCTGCTGCACTTGTTGAGGGCTCCTCTCTTAGCGCCCAGACGACGAGAGAGGGTATGATACACGGGCAAGGCCAGGCAGGAAACATGTGACTTATCAGTAACTTTAGACATCGTAACACAATTTTAAACGATATTTTATTGTAGATTATACATTTTACTGATACCAATTATATAATACCTATTTACCTAAAATAAAAAATAATTTTTATTTTATTTTTCATGTGGGAAGAGGTGGGGCGGCGCCACTAGCGCCCCTATGGGCCGGCCGCCACTGTACGTGAAATAAGTTATTTAGAGACTATGGATGGCGAGGATAAATGTAATAAAGGGATCTACAAACATTACATTGGTGACCTACAGTGAGATGGTAACAGGCATGCGCTTAGGGCCCGTTTTTCAGCCAGTTTCTGTGGGGTGACGCATTCTGAAGTGAGGCAGATCTCATCTGTGCCTCACCTTACCCCACAGTAACTGGCTTGAGCGCGCTCACAAAATAAGTGCCCGCGTTAAATTAGTGCCCGCGCTCCAGCCAGTTACTGTGGGCTTACGAGAGGCAGAGCTCGTCCTTGCCTCACTTCTCATCGCTACCCGTAGTTGTAGCGGAGCTCGGCAAATTAGCTGATTTTGACTATAAAAAGCGATTGGAATCATACATAAATCACATTTACAACACAGATCAGTGGAGACATTTTATTATTATTACTATTTAGTTTTTCTTTAGTTGTTTTTCCGTTACATTGGAGTATGACAGGTGAGGCTCTGCCTCCCCTGACTGCACTTCGCTGAAAAATACGTAGTTATTTTAAGGAAATAATGAATAAATGACGGCTTCTACCATGACTCCTTAAAGTGACAGCCAATAAAAAGTCAAGCCAAACCCCATTGACAAACCTGTCATTTCAACATTCTACAATTACACTATGTCTTTCTACAAACACCCTTTTGGAGATACTTGTACACTAGTCCATCAATTGCTACATTTCATATGAACTATTAATACAAGTTTTACAATCTTAATACACGTAGGCCTACTGACTAAGTAAATATTCAATTCAAAGTAAAAATTCAGACCAGGAAGTCGTGACGACCAAAAGCTTAGCATCCTAAGTGCTGTTGGTAAATGCGTGTTTCCTGGCTGTTCAGGATTTTTTTTTAAATCGCGCTGAGCCGTGGATGCACTCCGGCATACTGACCGTCATGAAAACCAGAGACAAAAAATGCTCTGAGTTTCATAAAAGTCAGTCAATGCTTTCCAAAAGCACGAGCAGTGAACTCCAGGCCTACGTGACTGAACTAAAAATTGAAAGAAACAGACTAAGAAATGACGTAAGCTCCATGATCAAAACTGCCAAAAAGAGTTTCATCAATGTCAAAACTGAGGAAAACAAAAATAAACCCCGTGAACTTTGGAAATTACTCAATAACCAGCTTGGCTGCAGTAAAAAACTTAAAACGAGATTTTCGAACTTAAACATAAAGACAGATAACAGGCTCATCACAGACAAACTGGATGTGGCCAAGTACTTGAAAAAAATTTTCACAAACATAGCCACAACTCTTGTAAATAAATTACCCTCCCACTCAGGGCTTTTTGAAGTAGATCACATCATGACCTACTACAAAAACCTAGGGGTACGCAAAGATGATTTCAGTCTAGCAAGGGTAACAACAGCAGAGGTACTCATTAAACTGAGCGCCCTCCAACCTAACAAGGCCACTGGCCACGACAATATCCCCTCCAAATTCCTCAGAGACACAGCAACCGCCATCTCACCAGTCATAGCTCACATAATTAACCTCTCCATAAAACAGGGAAAAGTACCCAAAGACTTCAAAATTGCAAGAGTAACCCCCCTGCACAAAAAGGGAAGTAAATTGGACCCAGGCAACTACCGCCCTGTTTCTATACTTACCTCCATCTCAAAAGTTATGGAAAAAATAGTATATGAACAGGTCGAAAAGTACCTCGCGGAAAAGAAACTAATCTATGAATTTCAATCTGGCTTTAGAACATCCCACTCCACTGACACATGCCTTCTTTATTTGAGCGACCACATCAAACAAGAGGTGGACGAGGGCAAGTACTGCGGCATGGTGATGCTGGACCTACAAAAGGCTTTCGACACTGTCAATCACCCCATTCTGATTGACAAGCTAAAAGCAATTGGTTTTGATAAACTATCGGTGAGCTGGATGCAATCCTACCTGGAGGGGAGAGAACAGATGGTGGAGGTAAACGGTACTCTGTCCCCCCCCTCCCAGTGAGCTGTGGTGTTCCACAAGGAAGCATATTAGGTCCGTTACTGTTCCTAATTTATGCAAACGACATGTCATCAGCATGTGACTGCAACTTGTTCCTGTTCGCGGACGACTCAGCCCTGCCGGTCTCTGACAGGAGCAGATTGCAGGTTGAAAAAAACCCTCAGCTCCGAGCTCGGCAGAATCTGCACCTGGCTCGCCGATAATAAATTATCATTACACCAGGGTAAAATAGAGTCCATTCTCTTCGGTTCGAAACATAATCTCAGCAAATCCGACGACTTCTCAGTTGCAGTGGGTGACATTATTGTCACAAGTAAGAAGGAAATTACATACCTAGGATCTATTCTTGAGGCAAACCTCTCCTGTGACAAAATGGCATCCAATGTAATAAAAAAAGTCAATCAAAGAACTCGATTCCTATACCGGATCTCTTCTCTGGTAAACAAAAACACCCTGAAAACTCTGGCAGGAGCACTCATTCAAGGGTACTATGACTATGCTTGCACGTCATGGTACCATAGCACGTCCAAGGCGCTAAAAATAAAACTTCAAACATCGCAAAATAAACTGGTCAGACTACTGCTTGACCTTTCATCTAGAACCCACCTCACCTCTGCCCACTTTGACAACCTAGGATGGCTTAGAGTAGACGACAGAGTACAGCTACTTGCAATGGGCCTGGTCTACAAGATCCACTACACCTCTATGGTACCCATGTACATGTCAAAATTCTTCCCAAAGGTCAAGGAATACCATAATCATAACACCAGAGGGAGCTCCACAAATCATGTGAAACCCAGATTTGGCACAAAAAAGGGGGAATACACGTTTCGCAATTATGCCACATCAAGGTGGAACGCTCTTCCCACAACTGTAAAGGAAAGTAAAACTATACTTACCTTCAAAACCTCTCTTAAAGAGCACCTTCGGGGGAGAGCATTGCAAAACTGGCCCCGGTAATGGTACAAATCTCAACCTGTGTACAATGGACAGCTTCCCCCCCCATCTATGTATATACTCGCATTTTAGACTCTGTTACTAACTGTATATCTGTAGACTTGGTATGTCTTAAATGTCCGGGTAGGATGTATTAGAACGAAATCTAAAATGAAAATTGTAAATAAGCAATCTGTATGTAAAAAACCACCTGTATGTAAATTGTAAATAAGCCATCTGTATGTCAAATATGTCTTATATGCAGGGCTGCACATAACTGGTGCGCAGGTGCGCATGCGCACCTCCGCCAAAAAAAGAGCACCGGGTCATTTGAAAAAAGGCGCATTTGCGCACCAACATTGAGAGAGAGAGAGAGAGAGAGAGAGAGACGAGAGAGAGAGAGAGAGAGAGAGAGAGAGAGAGAGAGGAGAGAGAGAGAGAGATGAGAGGAGAGAGAGAGAGAGAGCGAGAGGAAGAGGGAGAGAGAGAAGAGAGAAGAGAAAAGAGAGAGAGGAGAGAGGAGAGAGAGAAAGATATTTGCGAGTTGCATATGAACTCAGGGCCGGCCCGTAGCACTGGCGCTATAGATGTTCGCCTCGGGCGCCAGATCTGTGGAGGCGCTGCGCTGGCAGTTCTGGGAGGGAAAACAACTTTTTTGACTGTTGGGGCTCATCCTAATTTTCGGCCTTGATGTAACAATATTCATAATTAAGTAAATGTAACACCCTTTTCACCCCGGTTACACGTTTCATTTGCCCTGTACGATGGGCGCTGTAAGTGATGAAAATGGGGGATGTTGGCTTATCTGGTGCCCGCAGCTCACATCCAAAATGCGAGTGAGTGTGGGAGCGAGGGAGGGTGCACCGGTTCCGGCGCTGTTGTTATTAGAATCTGGTGCTAGCTGCTCTAACGGATATAAGAAGAAGATGTTTCTACAATAATGTGGAGGGAGAGTCATCTCCAGTCAGACTGAGAGGCTGATACTACAGCTCAGTGAGGTAAAGGACTCTGAGTGTTTAGATAGTTCACTTTAGTCTAAGTTGTCTCAGTGGGTCTCAAACGTTTTGATCACAATTTATGTAAACACATATTTTCAAGGCACTCCTTTATAATTATTGGGATAAACAGGTTTGAAATCATTCCAATGTATACTATAGGACAGTAAACCAAAAATATCCTTTAAAACTGGAGAGATAAAAAAAAAAGCATAAATAAATAAATGTTAAGGTAAAATAAGATATGAATGAACAACACAAATAAAATAAGTTACATTAAGTTGTTATTGGCTATGGTAGGTTATTGGTTATGTTCACATACTTATTTGATTACATCCACTTGTCTAAGATGACAACAGAGACTTTCGACCCAAAACCAGCTGTTGACTTGTGGATGCAAGCAGCTAATCGCAGACTCAACCAGAGAGAAAGAAGTAGGCCTACATCATCAGCTACCATGTCTGAGAGGAAGACAGTGAGGAGAACAGTCAGGAGGGTAGTGATGACAGCTTGTAGGATTACTGGTCGTGCTAATGTTGTCTTGTGTTCACCTCTGCATGTGTGTTTTGTGTTCACCTCTGCATGTGTGTTCAGTGCTGTGTGTCTGGCAAATAAAGTCAAGACCCCCTCAAAAGTTACGGTTTATTTCATTTTAAGGATGAGCACCAAGCAACATCTCCAGGTGCTCCTTTTAGAACCAGGGCAAAAAAGTTATGTGCACCCCTGCTTATATGTCTTAAATGATATGATGAATTGGAAATGGGGGACCCTGATGTAAACAAGACGAAAGTCTTTCTCTGGTCTGCATCCCCTTAACAATTGTATGTTTTGAGCTGTACTGTACTGTACCCAATATACAAGCTGTTAATAAACTTTTCAATCAATCAATCAATACGATAATAACACCTGAATAAAGTATGCATGTTCAGAATTTAGTGACACATTTCAATAGTCATACCTTTGCCATTTTTATCATTTTCTTGGCGATCTCAATGTCTCCCTGGTGGTTTTGTCCAATCTCAGCAATGATGAAGCAAGGGTTACTTCCTCCGATCATTCTACCGGGACACAGCTCGAACTTTAAAGGCATTTTGACCACAAAGAGGTAAAAACTAAACAAGTGAAAGTAGCGTAGTAGTCTAGTGGAGAGCAGGATGAGAGTTAGGCGGTTGCTGCCTGGGACCGGAGCTATTAAAGCGCTGCACCACCCGGATGTGGGAGGATTTCCGCATTGTGGAGCAGCCGGATTATCTTTCAAAGTAAAAGCGTTCATTTATGCATATATTTAAAAAGGAGTTGAAGGAGAAAGAAAATGAAGTCATTTAGAAAACCTTGTATGCCATTTCAGCCTATGGGCAATTGCTAAATGAATAAACACTTTAAAGCTACAAAAACGATCAACCTTAGACTGTTGCCTCAAATATGGAATTGTATGGGAACCTTTTATTCTGATCAACTGTGGCTGTCATGAACAAATTCGCTTAATTCACTGTAGACCACACAGACATCAGAAGCGACACCTAACAGGAAGATTATTTTACACAGCAAGATCTGATACCTGTCAGTATACTAATAATAATTAGGGATGCTCCGATCGATATCAGCCGATATTCACAGCTGCCGATTGATCGGTGCTCTCTATAAATGCCGATCGGGAGAGCCGATCACATGACGTAAAATACATGACACTTTTCTCTGTGCGCGGCAAAGCTATGGGATTAGTTTTGTATCATAAAGATAAAGCAACACTTTCTGAGAATAAAGCAAAACTATGAGTTTAAAGGGAAAAAAACTGAGTCAAGCAAAATAAAATACATTTCAAAAATACAACTATAAGTTGCAAACAAATCATTTGTGTAATCATGTAAACTATAAGTATTTTTCTTTGTTTTAACATATCTTTTTGTTTGAAGTTCTTGTTTCTTCTTTGTCAATGATCAGACTTTTGCTCTCGCTGCAGCTCTTCTCATTTGCGCTCCTTCACTTTTTGTTTGAGATTCTGACACAAACCTCCCAGGTGGGTGGGACTTTCAGGGGTGCCTCTCCATTGGCTAATCAGTTTTTGAGTGACAGCCCAGTCCTCCAGTGATTGTACAGTTCAGGCAGCAACAACACCTCCAGAAGAACCAGCATTTCAATTATTACAAGTGAAAATATATGTAAGTATTGATCATTTGTGTTGTTTGTGCTGTACTATAGGCTACGGTCTGTTTCTTTATTGTGTTAAGTGAGAAGTAAAGTTGTGCTATGAAAGTTAGCTTTTGCTACCTTTAGATCCATAACAATAGGCTTGTTTGAGACAAGCAAGACCTGCGCAGACCTGCGCAGTTGCGATCAACGTCTTGCTAGTGCGTTGCATGATGGTTAGTCATTTTGTCCGACTTGCTCTGGAGGCCCGCCCACATGAGACTTTGAAATTTCGCGGGACAAAGACGCCCGCAGCCTTGAGAGCGAGGCGAGGCGAGTTGGCGCAGTTGCTCTCCACGGGCTGCGGAAGCGAAATGCTTGATGGGAAACGGCTCGCTGGTATCTCGAGCTGAGCGCTCATTGGTGGTTTTTACCACGTGCTGGTGATGAAACTCTCCAATTGGCTGGCAAAATGTTGTTGTTGTTTTGTGTCAGTTTTACGTCGCCACTTCCATTCACATTTTTCATCATTGTTCCACAATATTTATCATCATTCAATTCATTCTATATGTTATTCTGTAGATTGTGTACATTACTTTTCACTTTACTGCTTGTTGCACCTGGTTAGAAGCTAAACTGCATTTCGTTGTCTCAGTACCTGTAATATGTGCAATAACAATAAAGTTGAATCTAATCTTGAGCAGGAACAAATGTATTTACTTAGTACATATCTGACATTAACGATTCAACGACATGTGTGCATTCTTTATAAATGCAAACCGAGTCAAGCCGACTCCGGAGGTGGCGGTATGCACCTTAAAGTTGTTTGCAATCCGCCAAAAAACCGAGAGAAGAAGAAGAAGACGAAGCCGACTCCGAGCATGGACTCCGAGCTGTCCGACTTCAGGCGAGCTTTTTGAGACCTCCCCCGGCTGCGATCGGCTATTCTCGTCTACTTTCGAGGCGAGCCGCAACGCGTCTCAAACAAGCCTAATGCAAGCTAAGTAGCCTCACAGTGAGCTACCAACCCAGTCTCATGGCATTTCATGTTCACCAAAACGATTTTTAATCTATTGATTCGTGTTCACCAACACGATTTCCCCCTTTTTTTCGTGTTGCACAGCACGATTTTAAAAGCAATGTATTTCTACTGGTAATGTGTTTCGTGCCTGTGTCAGTACCAGATATGTTCGGGTGTATTTCTGTCGCATCCGTCTTCCGTCACATCCGTCATATACTCACCTCCCTCTGCTCCCAGCGCTCTGCTGCCACACACCGGCCGTCTGCGGAACTGCAGCCGGAGGAACTCGGGACAGCTTGTTATGTGTGGGGTGCTATGGTGGGGTCCCATGTACTTGTGCACATAAATAATGTTTCTAATTATTTACAATTAAAAAATATATATATTCTGCGTTAATTTAGCCAACACTTTCATAAGGCCACTAGATTAGATAATTACGAAATGTGTAGATAGAATACATATATTTCAGGTTGTTATTTTGTCATTATGTTTAATGTTTTATTTACCTTTTAGTATTTTTATATAGTATCTGAACTTTGGAGAGGAGTTGGGAGACACACGACACATCAAATCACATCTACAGATCAAGGCGAAGCGAATGGAAGTAGTCACATACTCCTAGCGTGAAAATGTTTGTGAAAACGTGTGCAAAGTCTCCGAAAATCCTAAAAATAAGCTCATATTTGAATTCATCATAAAAAAACACATCATTCAGTAAAAACAAGGCCCCACTGATCATCTACTCTCTGAGACGATTCCAGGGATGTCTGGCTTGAGTTTCGACCACCAGGGAAAGTGGACAAAAGTGCCCGAGATCAGCCTCTTAATTTACCCAGGGCTTAGTGCTTGGCTTTGGGCATGAAAATTCAGGAAACTCCCCTGAGTATTTTATTAAATATCTGAACTTTGGAGAGGAGTTGGGGGACACACGACACATCAAATCACATCTAGAGATCAAGACGAAGCTAGTGGAAGTACTCCTAACGTGTGAAAATGTTTGTGAAAAACGTGTGCAAAGTCTCCGAAAACGGAGCAGTGGCTGTAAAGCTAGCTTTGCGGCTAGCGGTTAGTTGTTATTGTTTGAAGTTGTTGCTATGGAAACAACATGACGGAGAAAAAATGAATATCTTCTACATATAATAACGGACAAAGTAAAGAATGAAGTGTAGGCTATGCCTGTTTGAAGTTGTTGCTAAGGAAACAACATGACGGAGAAAAAGTATAATCTTCTACATATAATAACGGACAAAGTAAAGAATGAAGTGTCGGCTATGTTTAAATGTTCGGAATTTGACCGTGATGGCCCTCTTGAGTTGCCGTAAAATATGACGAACATGACGGATGACGGATGCGACGGAAATACACCCGAACATATCTGGTAGCCCGAACATATCTGGTACTGACACTGGTACTGACACTGACCATAGATATATATATAAACACTAGATGACTCACCCGCGCTGCTGGCCAATGGAGACCGACGTTGCCACTTGGCCGCCATCTTGCTACAGGCAGTTCTCTCATTCATAACATTATGGTTTACTATTTAAATAACCACAGCTTGCTCAATTTTCAACCAATTTTTAAACGGTTTTGTTTTTTATAAACATCAAAGATGTAGTTATGATACTGCATACTTATAATCATGGACTTTCATATGAAAATAACATTAATCAGATAAAGCAATAGCTATACACATACACACAAGGTATTTATATTAAATATTTGCCGGTGTATATATTTCCATTTATTTTATTATATTGTTAATATTTAAAATAAATTATAAATAAATTATAAAATTAAAATACATTTATATTTTATATATAAAAATCGGTCTCATGTTACCACTCTGTAAGCCAAGAGTTGTTAATTTAGCAATGCCTTAGCTTGAAGAACAGGGACACAACTAATGATAATAGCATATGTTGGTATATTATTTAGATATTCACATCTTTATCAGAAGAACCAAACCAACATAAAATGTGCTCAGACAGGCCAGTTCTGTCTAATTTATCACAATTATTTTTGACATGAGATCTTCATATCATCCTAGTTTTGTATTTAGTTTCTAGATTTGTAAACAAATCCAGAACCTTTGAAATATGTTATTGAAAAAAGACCACGAATAATATAAACTGTACCATGTGTCCTTTTGTGTCCTTCTGTAGTCCATTTGTGGTTGGTCTTGTCTCGCCCCGGCTGATACATCACAAAATCCACTGTTTAAATTGTTCCCTATATTGCCCCTATGCCCCTGTAAGGTGTCCTTGGGTGTTATGAAAGGCGGCCCCCCAACATAAATGTATTATTATTATTAAGAAGAACAACTTGGTGTGGTGTGGAGGGGATGTAGGAAGCAGGAGCAGGTGGGTAGAGATGGGGCTTCAAGGTTCAAGGTTATTTGTTTTAAATGTGTCTTGGAGATAAGGACCAGCTGCACACAATAAAATACAGTATAACACAAAACCAATAAGACACACGGTGACACATGGCACACCAACAATCAATCATCGTCCAGCCTCAGCTTTGGTATTCTTTCACAACCATGTTATGGGTTTATTAGACTGAGCAAACATAAACATATGTGGTGATCCCACAGGTTCTTGTTTGCAGACAGCGGCGATTGGAGCATCCGTAGGCTGCACAAAAGTCAGGTACTTCTGTAAACACAAAGCCAGCAAATTCCTGTATCATAATGCAAGATGTTTTTAACAAGCCAAACCACTTGGAAGAAATCATGTGTAACTTAAGTTATGTTGAAAAGAAAGAGCAGTTCTGCCTCTCCCACTGGTGTAAAGTTGCTGGGTCAACTTTGTAATACTAGGTCTCACTCACAGCCTCTTGTTATTAGCCAGCTAATAAATACAACCACATACACAAAGAAAAGCTGCAATTTCAACATGTCCAAGCATCCTGTATCATAGCCATGCTAATAACGTTTATAATAAACAAAACCGTTTGTAAATCAGTCAAGATTTCAGCGATTTAAGAGTATTTTTGTGCAGGTCACTCACCTTACAACAGCTACCATAACGCGTACCAGAGTAGCTGTTGACTGTAGCAAGAT